AGTACAGATCACAATTTGGCAGTGCATGTAATTCTTTTATATAATCATCAAGATTTATATGATTCAAACAATACATAATTTTCCATAATAAAATCTAATCGGTGAGCTCATCTGTACGACAAGAGGATTTCGTATGGCTGAGAGGGTGGTGTGTGAATGTGCTTTGTTACAGACGATGTTAAAATAATTATGCAGACTGTCTTGTCACAGTGCATTTGTATCACAGTGACTCTGGGTCCCTGGGTGAAAGGGATAGCCCCACTGCAGCCTCCACTTACAAGAGAGAGCCTTTAATGTTTCACTGACATCGCACAATGAGAAGGACTACATGTGCATCTTAATATTTTAATGCTATTATTATGTTAATAAATAAACATGCCGTTTGCCGTGACATACGACTCTCAAATTAATACTGAAGTGCTTTTTTATTTAAGGCAGCCAGTGTAATTTATTCATTGCGGGAATGAGTCAAAAGTTCAGATGGGCTCTTATTGCTTCAGAAAAGTGAGAGCATTTTCAAGACTTGCTAAACAAAATCTCAAAAGTAGTTTAATGGCTTTCATAAAAGCTGAAATGTCTAACTAAATGCATTAACTTTATACATTAAACAAGTATTCTATTAGCTCCCTTATTTAACATTAATACAACAACAAAGCAGAGATATAATTTGAATGAGCAAGCATAAAAAAGGATTTGCACCTACTACATGTTGCTACTGTGCAGGGCTGTACAGAAAGTTAAACATAAGTACAAGGCTGATTCGTACACACTTTTCCTCCTCTTATTACCACCTCCTAATGGGTCACCACACTGAAAAGTCACAAGTGAGTGTTGATCATCACTAAAAGCATTTCAGATATGGTTTTGTAGCATAGCAACAGGTTGTGCGTTTTAGTGACTAATCTTGCTAAAGAAAATAACAAACTTTCTGCACCAGCTCCTGTGTCGCTCTGGACTGGCGTGGTGCAGACAGCCGTCTGGAATGTTTAAGGGGTAAGAAAAGGATCATTTAATTTCAAAAAGAGCCACTCATTTAGCCACCTACAGTGACACGAACACACGCACTTAAATCATGATAATCGTCATGATGTTTTCAGGAGCACTTCAGATGCTGTTTAAATTTAGAAAGAACCCAATTCACAAGCGCATTAACATTGCTACTTCATTGACCTGAGTGGGCGGTGGACACTCAAGGCTATTTGATAAGAATGTCTTAAATCTTACTTAACCGGATAAGAATTGTTAATGGCACTGAGAGGTAACACACACACAAAAAAAAAAAAAAAAACTCTCCAAGATAATAAACTGTTATTTTAAATACTTTTAAGCCTACTTATAGCCTTATAAAATATATCAAACAGGCTAATGTGTTTGTATTAATGTATTATCATACTGTGTTTAACTTGCATTGCACAAGCATTTTTCTGTTCTATAATGAAAGTCTTTGCTGTATTTCTAGAGGTTCTTTATTCTTGAGTAACTTATTGCGTCGTTTTATCACAAAAGATGATTGATTTATTTCACAACAAAGGCATCTGAAGTTACAGCCTGTGTTCAATGGGTCTCTCTTGAGGGCTGTTGACTCGCACTAGAGACAGGGTGACCCAGGCTGCCCTGCCAGCGGAGACCAAAGGACTGATCATTTATGGCGGGATCGATAAAGTTATATAAATAAAGCAGTGCTCATGCTGTGACACCTAGCCGGCGCTGAGGTCGCTCTGTGATCAACAGCTCTGACTGAGAGCAGACCGGGTCTCTGCACTCTTCGCTTCTCACTTTCTGGTTTGTGTCATACTTTGTGGCGTGCGCGCTCAGATTTCGCGCGGACCAGGCTCACGCGCGCATCTGTGTTGTTTCTGTCGGAGATGATTAATGAGGCGCGTCCCCGAACACATTCAGCCGACACCCGGGCAGCCCTGGCCATCGCCGCGGGATTTCACTTACACTGCACGGTGCACTTCACAATATCCCCAGCCGTCAGCAAAACCAGACGGACGCCCGATCACGACGTGGATGAATGAGACAATTAGGACAGACAATCGTCCAGTGAAAAAGGCTAAAGCCACGGACTACATACAGCCTACGTCCACGTGACAACATAAACATTACGTAGAGCTACAGAATGTTTCTTGATATCCCGACAGTTGAAGGCACGCTGGCAGTAATAAAAATTTAATTCGGCATTCCAAGTTTGTACGTTCGCTCTATATGCACAGCACATTAAAGCTCAAAACTTTTACGCGTGGTCATAGTAAAACAAACTAAAAGGACTTTTACAAGGACTTTTAAAGCCACATTAAACACTTAGTGACTTGCATGCTTGCATGTACATTTCGCAACTCAGATCACTTTGCAATGCCAAATGCTGCTAAAATAAAGTAGAATGTCTCGTAAATAGCCTAGCCCTCTCAACCCGCTGATGTTGTCATGGAATTAATCAAGTTTACTAAGCACCGAAGGTATGCATGCACTGAAAACTCCGGTGGAACTCCGATGTGAAACAGCTTCCACACCGGGCACACATCTCCAGTTTTGGGTCGGGGCTTGGCTTGATTTTCTCAAGCTTTGGTTCCACAGAAGCCTGTACATGCAGCTGCAGCTCCCCCGCTTTGCTCACGAGTCGCACTCTATCCTGACCCGAACGATAGCCAGAAATGAAAATCACAACTTACGGGTTGTTTGCAAAATCCCGTGCACACCGCTGAATATCCAGAAAGCGACCGGCAATAACAATGGCAATCCCCGGGCAGGATGGTGCCGGTGCATCTTCGCGGCGTGGACGCGCAGGACGCAGTGGGAGAGTCAGTCAAATACACTGCGTAGCGGCGCAAACAGCAGCCGTCCGTCAGAGTCGCTTCGCAGAAGAGCACTGGTGAGAGGAGCTCGGCTGCTCGGGCTCTCTACCTCTCTCCCTCTCCTCAGTCTCTGCTCGCTCCCTCCAATGGGGAGATGATGTAAGGATCGCGTAGAGGAAGACTGCCCTGCGCGTGCAAATAAGAGGGGCACACACTCTGCAGATTCCTCACTGAGCGATCTCCGAGTAAATAGCAACAACCAGCAACAGTCTACAAAAACTATTTCCTCATATCACGGAGCTGAGCACCGCAGCGCGCAAAGGCTCAGTACTTAGAACTGTCCATTGAACTGCTCTGTCCCCTCCTGCGCGCTCGTGCGCTGGCCGTGGTGCTGATCTCACAGCCATTCCGTCCCTGACTAATGCCTTGTTGTTTCTAGACAGACAGTGCCCCCCTACTTCTCCAGGTGGTAACCTGGATTGGGATTATGTCTCTTATAGCACAAGGAGAGTTACATAAAAAATAAGAGCGCCAAATTCGGCGATAAGCAATATATAGCCAATACATATGTAACTTGTTGGTTCATATAAAACTTTTAATAAAATGTGTAAGTACTATGAAATCATTTTTCAGGGCTGATAAGTTAAGTTTTCACCTAAATAAAAATCATATAGCTCCATAAACTCTTCAACATAAACAAAATACAGAAAACTACTGTCGGATAATATGTCAGGCTCTGTTATACATACACTCCTTAATGACTTCTCATTGTAGCGGGAAGCAGGAAATTGAAAAGTTAGATTGGTGCGCTCCATCAGAAGTAATGTCTCATTTATTTTCCAGTGTTGAATTGAAAACAGTTTGCGGTTATTGTCAATATTTGGAAGATAAAAACTTGCCATCTCATATTTAATTCGATCTTAAAATGGGTAAAAATTGTTAAATAGCAATATTTTTGGACAATTATACATCAATTTGCGCAGATTTTGAGAATATATACTAATAATATATATATATATAATAATAATAATAATAATAATAATAATAATAATATAATTATTATTATTATTATTATTATTATTATTATTATTATTATTATTATTATTATTATTATGGATCAGATTTATATAACGGACATTCAAAGACACTTTACAATATGGTGCATTATTAATTCACTCCACACTAAGTGGTGGTACGCTACTATTGTAGCCACAGCTGCCCTGCCCTACTAGGCAATGGCTTGACTAAGGATACAATGACAAATGTTTTACAACTGGCACCACACTGTGGCACCTGGTATTCCCATCAGTCTTCCATCCAAGTACTAACCAGGCCTGGCCCTGCTTAGCTTCTGAGATCTGACGAGATCCGACGAGATCAGGCTTTGACATGCTGGGGTAGGCAAGTAAAGTAATTGTTTTTTTGTTTTTTTTAAAGCTTATCTATCACTATACAGAAAGTGATGGTCCATTATAAGACAGCAATTAAAAATCATAAATTTATTGTTAGGAAAGGCAATTCATCCTTGAACAGAAATGGAGGCCTCAGACATCATCTGTCTCTCATTAATAACTCCATCCTCAGACTTAAATCTAAAACAAGGAAAAGAACAGAGACAGCCAGGTCAGGTCCAGAGGCATGAAAGCACCCATTATGGCCGTAATTGGTTATGCTAATATGACCCCACACTCATTGCAGTTCAATAGGCTTAACTAACAAACAGAAACTGTAAAGTAGGTGTGTTAGTTTCAGAGTAGTTTCAGTGTAGTTTCAGTGTAGTTAGCTCCTCCCTGCAGGCAGATATAAGGCAGTGTCCACCAGCATCTGACCAGAATTGAAGAAGCAGCTTGGATGAGCTGTGAAATACTTACTTACTTGTGTCAAAGTTAAAAGACACTTTCATAGTACACTATTGTACATAGTACATAGTGCACTCTCTCAAAGGAGTTCTTGACAAGTTCATGTGAGACTGTTCTTTTCTATAAGGACTACAGACAGATACATCAGTTTGCAATGGACAATCATTTATAACCATTTTTCACAAAGCAGAACAAGTAAACAGCAATGACTGATGGAATACAGGCATGGTTGAGAGGGGTAATTAATCTAATGGGCTAATGCAAATTACACAAATAACAACAGCTTCAAATAAAAACAGTTAAACATTTAAAGTTTAAAAATATTTAGTAATTATTTTTTCTCGTATAATCTAGAGTCAGTAAGGCTCACTTTTAAGTGGTATTTCATGTTCAATAATCTGCAACAGTTTTATGCCAGTTTATCTTCTGTCTCTCTTTATCAAACTTTTTAAATTCATTCTTCTACTGGAGTACTTGTCTTACCTTAACTGACACACTTTGATCTTGGCATAGTGCGCAGCTTTCATCTTTACAATACCAAAATCCTGCAAATACAGTTAGCATAATTTTGTATAGTGCAATTTGAAAAGATGGAATTATAATAAATTAAAATACAATGGGTATTAATGCATGGTAATAATAGTAAATAGCAGTCTACATATAAAAGCAACCTTACCTTGAAGAAGTCGGACAGATGAAAGTGTGTCAGCTAAGACTGGGTCAGCTCCAGCAGCAAGTCTCCTGTTGAATGGACAGAACAGAACATTTTATATGGTACAACAGTAGAAAAAATGTAATGCATAAGTTCAATTAATATATGACATAGTAAGATGCTGTGGCAAATTCCTAGCAACAAAAAATACATTTATAGTTCATAAGGCATGTCTCAACCCTTCGCCACCCTTATGTGAAAAATATCTCTGACAGCTGGGATCTGTTCAGTTTCATTGAACTGATGCAGCTCATGCCACACATGTTTTGACTGTATAAAATACAAGGCCAATATGGCTTTTGTAATACGACATAGTAAAAAATAGTACAGAAAAACTACAGTATAGTTTTTTGTTTGTTTGTTTGTTTGTTTTTTTGTTAAATAAGTAATCTACAATTTTCTAACACACTTTATTACGGAAGTTCCTGTGCGTGCCACTATCATCATTCGGGTTGTATTATTTTAAGAAACAAGTAAGTTAAATACTATAAGAACTATAAAGCTGTTTTAAAGCCCTACCAGAGAATACGTGCAGTGTTGGCTTATGGATGCCCATGGAAATCTAACATTTTACACAAATAAACCTATTTTATATATTCATATTTTAGCTGCAAGACTTTTCTCAAATTCTCCATTGAAATGAATGGGCTACCCGTTTAACCGGAAGTGCCTCCAGAAGAAAGCGCGGTTTAGGAGCATTTTGCATTCTTTTATTAAAATAGCATTTAGAGATAAAAGTTAGCGAGGCCAAATGGGGTGATCTAAATTGTATTCGTGCATATTTTAGTGGTAGGTTTAGCAAATAGCAACTGGTAGCAGCAGATGGTGTAGTCCACGTAAGCTGCTTCTTGTGTAAATAACTTCAGAAACCTGTAATAATGCAGAATAATTAATAGTTATAATACACGACCAGTTAGTTCCCACTCACTTCACCCTTTACCTTGCTGTCCAAAACGAGAGGCTTCTGTCTTGTTTGCACTCATTGACCCTTATGTTTGCGCTGTTGCGCCGCTGCACGCTAGAGGGCGCTGTACTCCCCTAAACCACGTGTGGTCCATGATTGATGACGACAGCAGACGGAGCAGACGCCCTGTAAAGAAAGGTAAACAAAGAGAAACAAAGCGAAACAAAGCTGCCTGCTAGTAATTGATTTTAATAACTTTCTCTCTTTACACGTTGTATGCTATGTTAACAACAAAGAAAAAATGTCTGTCATATAAATAATCCACGTATGTCTGAAGTAAGGCTTGGATCAATAGTCCGTTGTGGCAGCAGATGCATTCTTTATATAGCCTAACTTTATGACTTATTAACAAGCCGGGAGCTCCAGACAGTGATGTGTTCTGCCTCTACTGTTGCTAAAGTCTGCCCATTCCCAGGAGAAGTAACATGAACTAGCCTACATACACTACTATTGCTGCAGGGTCATTGAGCTGGAAGATGCATTCAGTTGTCCATTACAGGAGAGTGAGAATATAGGAACACAAGGCCTCCATAGAATAGACAGACAGAATGATGCATTGGGTCAAAGATTGTTTTCTTGGTTGTTTTATTAGTGTCACTCAAAAAGGCATCGACAAACACTGAATAATGGACGTTTTGTGAAGTTTTTTTTGCTTTGTATGTTAGTTTGAGTGAAAAAATGATACAATTTATGTATTACCTAATGTGTTGCCATTATAGTTGCATTATCTATAAATTATAATTCAGATGTTATGTCGAGAAAGGTACTCATGGGAAGTAGTTTGCTGTATATGTTTTTTTTTTTTTTACTCTTTCTTGAACTACTTGTACTTCTACCTGAGTAATATATGTTGAGATAATGGTACTTGATTACATTTTTGGCATCGCCCACTTTTTATTTTATTCATTCACTCCACTTCCAGGTGGTGCTAAGGACTTCCATGGCCAAAGCTGCCCTGGGGTAGACTGATGGAAGTGAGGCAGCCAATCTCTTGTCGACAGGACCAGTAACCACCACCACATATCACATTCATGCACTGGTAAGGGGGTGATGCGTATTGCCCAAGGACTCAACAACAATATGTAGGTCGGAGCTGAGATCAGATTGCCTTTCACTGAGCCACTGCCTAGTCTATTGGCAGTATTCAAAAACTATTCATAATTTTAGTCCAAACTTTGTCTACTCTACCCACCCCAGAGAAAAGTTGCTTTGCTCTGCCTGTGGTCCTGGGGGTAGGGGGTAGAACGCAGCTACAGTTTCCTCTTCTTTCCCAAAAGAAACACAGCCGAATTGACTTATGTTAATTAATGACCTTTGGTGTCAGTCGTTCCAGGGATTATTTGCATTCTCTGAAAATAGCTCCAGAAGAAGAAAAATCAACATCTGCACTACAGTGGGACGCTTTGTGCTCTTCCTACCTCATACACAATGACAAATGACTATTCATGTTTTTACAAAGCATTATGCATGTGATTAACATGAGCAAATTTCTTGTAGTCTTGGTTTGGTAGCTTTCTTTCTATCCAAACATTTGAAGTATAGTCTACACATGTGGCTGTCCTCATTCTGTTATCTATTTAGAAATTCTATTTAGGATTTTATTTATTGCAAGCTTTATGTTGTGCAGTTAAAATAAAAGTTTTCAAGTAGGGCTGCAACTGAACTAGTTAAACCATTATTGTGCGTAAATTTCGATTTTCAAATCAGATTTTGAACAAAATAAAGGTCAAAATGTAGTGACTGGAAGCTTCTAAATAGAGAATATTAACAAAAAAGGCTGTTATTCAAAACCAGAAATAGTTTATTCTTATTTGACATTTTGATTAAATAATGCCACTGTTTTTTTAATAAAAAGTATAAAAAGGTTTTTTGTGTATCTTTGAGTCTGAATAGTCCGGGTAATGCTAATTTTTATAGTCAAATATTCACGATTAGTCACTTAATTGTTGTAGCCCTATTTTCAGCAAAAATAGCCAAAAAGGAGTGGGCCAAGTTAAAAAGTATAAAAATGTTTCAATACTATGTCTGAGATTCATTTCACCAACAACATAGATGTATAATGCAAAACAATACTATATTTGCTTTCATTCTCCCAAACTTTTTTTAGCTGTTGATAATATACCACTTTCACTGTAATGATGATACGCATGTGTATTTAAATGTAACTGTTAGAATAGAAAGTTTTAAATATTTGAGCTTCTTTCCCACACATTCATTCCTTATATTAACTTGAGATGCTATCAGTCCTACGCATTACGCCTTATCTCGTGTCCGACCTTTCTCATCCCTAATAGAAAAGCTGATTACAATAGATGTCAAGACTTGTCATTGTCACATTATAGTTCAAGTAATACCGTAATGCACACGTGAGCAGGAAAGGAAATGAGAGAAATAGTGAAAAAAGGATAGAGAAAGTTGCTGATGCCACCTTTCACTATATGAATCCAGGTCTTGCAGTAGTGGTGTAGGTCAGGCCAGTTTCAATTCAGCGAGTCGACAAGAGAGGAACACAATCTGCACTCGGGAGGAGGCGGGAGGGCTTTTAATAATGTCACTGCATAATTGGTTTCTGAAACATTTCATGGCATTAATTAACTAAATGAGCCTCAAGGAATAAGAGCAGGGAAGGTGGAAATGAGTAAAAAAAAATGTTAAAATAGCAAGATCATATCAGATTGTGTGTCTTGAATTGTACTTTCTATATAATTCCTTCCTTGACACTGTGTAACGATTAATTGGTTAACTGAAAAAAGGTGATTTTTCTTATCGTGAGAACTAAAAAAAATCATAATTATGAGGATTTAAAAAGCTAAATTAAATATTTCTATTTATATTCTAAAAAGTAAACTTAAATGTGATGTGACCTTATAGTGCACCTTTAATATTTCCTTTTTTTTTTTTGGTCATGGTGTTAGTAACCGTTAATATTGTAATCTTTCTTCTTACAACAATCATAACAAAAAAAAAAGACATTGTGACATCCCTGCTTGACACATGCTCTCAATAGGTTTTATACTCAAATTGATTTGCATCATAACCTCTTGCTGTTTCAACCTACTGGGCCAAAACACACATCCATTGACTGTACGTGTTAGCTTCATTAAAGACTCTGAACGCTCTCCACACTTCGTTACAGGCGTACAGAGACTCATGTTGAGAAGAATTGGAAATAATGTTTATAAAACAATTGCTCACCTGAAGTTTTAATTTGCTTTGTTGGTTGGGGATCTCGTGCGTGAGTTATACTGAGGTTGTACTTTGTAGCTCATGTCATCAACGTTCCAGGAGGGTGTGAAGCTAACTGTAAACACTGCTCTGTCTGAAGCTCTGTTACTCAAATAAGACTTTAATCTGAGCTTTGTTTTTTAACACAATCTGGCCAAAAAGAGTTGACTTAGTTGGAACACTGTAACAGGTGAGCTATTTTGTGATCTAGAAAGACTGTGTTTGCTAATGTATGCATTGTGTCTCCATGGTAACTGCTGAGCATTCCACTATACAAACATACATGTACAATATCCCCAAGTAGAGGTCAAAGAAGTATTCCCCAATGTACTCCAATGTTACTTAAGTAAATGGGGTTATGTAAAGTTACAATAGAATGTACTTGCTTCTGGTTGCTTCTCTAGTATTACCCCTAATTGTCACAGTAATTTTAGTATTTTTACTTCTATACTCCTAATGCTACTACAGCGCATATACTACTACAACTACCACTACAACTACAAAATATACTCATCTTACTATTACTACTATTACTGATGAGGAGTACCAAAGTTGTATTCAAAAATAATATGAATTCAACCTCTTTAGAGAGGTACGAAAACTTATTAAAAGTTTGTTGAATATATTGACCTCCTAAGCACAGTTTGCACCCTAGATTAAAACTCATATTTAAATGTACCAGACTGTTTGGTGTTGGTGACTCATCCTGTAAACATTCAAGGGGTTAGTTTAAAAAGATTTAAGTAAAATGTCCCAAAATATCAATGATCTGAATAAATCTAGTTCGGAGGTTCAAACAGACAGCCAATGCACTACATCCTTATTAACAGAAGAGAGCATTTTACATTAAATAATTCTCCTTAAACATTTTTACTACCCATGATGCAATGCTGGAGGCCGAATGTGAAGAAACAGCAGAAAGAGCATGTGTATGTTAACTATACAGTACATGAAAATTTAATTAAAAAATCTACTGTGGATGCAAAAGAAATGCTGATGGCAAGGATACTATAGCTTGTTGACATTTGAGTTTAACATGTGGGCTATAGCACATTATATTTACCATAATTATCTTCATGTTTCTTACCACTGGAGAGAAATTTGATACATTTAATTACCCATACATATTACTTTCATCCGTGTGTTACAAATAAAAAGACTGATCGTACAATTTAAACGTGGAAGATTTATACCAGATATAATGGTGTAAAACTTGCTCATATACAGCGTTTTCTATGCACTGTTTTTAACTGTGAACTGAAGCTGTGACTATAACTGCAATCTAAAAGTATCTTAAAGGATTAACCCTGCAACAAGCCATTGTCCTATAGCACCACAAAAATAAAAGTGGGATACTAGGCTTTTGTCTTTTTTTTTTTTTTTTTTTTTTTGATTATTTATTTCGGTCACAGGTATATTTTGACATTCATTCACAGACAGTCATATTTAACTTACACAGACCAAAAAGGTGTAGGCTGAAGCTTAAGCTTATTATGCCTACCCTTTATTCCTTTGTCAGAGCAGTTCATCTTCATAAATACAGCAAGAGGAAACAAACAAATAAGAAATGGTACAACAAAGTACTACAACACAAACTAAGTATCATAATTCATGTATCTGTCCAGCGTCAAACATTTAAACTTCTTTATAAAGTGAAAGAGAGTGGTGCACAATTTTAGGTTTTCTGTACAGTTGTTCCACAGCTCCATCCCTTTAACAAATATACAAAATGTCATAATGTTTGTTCTAATTTTCTTTTTGATAAACATGGCTGTGCCTCAGAGCTCATATTGGCTCTTTTGGATTTTGAACATGTTCTGTAAAGATTTTGACAGGAGATTGTCGTTTACTTTGAACATTGATTTTCAGAGTATAAATCGACTAAATCATACAATTTCAGAGTTTGAAGGTTTATAAATAACTCATTGGTTGATTCGTTATAAACTGATAATGTGATTGCTCTTATTGCCTTTTTTTTGCAAGGTAAAGACTGGATTTGTATTTGTCTTGTCTCATGCAATCTCGAAATTGAATTATTTCTTCATGACAAGTTGGTTTATAGGTGTTGTCGTAGTAGCAGTTTCAGTCATAGTTGCTGTAATCTGTAAAGCTCTGTTGTAGTTTTCACATAAAATCACTTCAACTTAAAAGTGCCTTATGTAACTTTTGTAGAGGGTCTGCCACTTTCTGCCTTGCCCAGGAAGTTCCCCAGTATGGCATTTAACTTATCAGTCTCTCTGTGAAGAGACGAGCCTTCTCTCAGTATGGCTGCATAAGATATTATTTTGCAATTAAAACACCGGTAGTTAAACAGATGCAAGATAGATAAGTTTAATGCCATATCAAGGGACATTCTAGGCAATAACACCTGAGTGATGACAAGCAGGTGGAAAGCAAGAAAGTTTTAAAGCACTTTTAACTTCTCTTTCTTCCAACTACTTTTTTGCTTCTACTTTAGAAATATGATTTACTGATACTGAGTCACTCTTCCTCCCATGACTTCTTCTTGTTTTTCTCATAAATAAATGTCACCTTCGGATTCTGCCAATTACACCTCAGAGTCTCCGTGTACTATTCATAAAAAGACAGGACGTCAGCTTAACAAAGTAGGCATTCCAGTGTGACGATCCAGGCTCAGAGACTGTCTCGGTGCCAGCATTCAAAAACCCTGTGTTTTGTATCATCGTGGGTAATTGGCCTTGTGAGTTGATGAACCAGCGGGAGGTATGTCATTTTATCTTTTATGTCGCATATCCATCCTCTACTGTGTGATTTCAAAAGCAAAATAGGTCTCTTTCTTCTTTGTATGAATGA